CAACTATATATACAAATATGTATACATATTTACACAAGCAATAGTTATAACACCGAGTAAGTTTGTGAAAAGAAAATCCGTTAATGATTAAATCCTCAGTACGAACAGTTACTAAACAGCACGAGCCTTACATTCAATCTCACGAGCATGTTATTTAACATGGCAACTTGCTCTGAGCCGGTACTGGCGAGTAAGTGTCCCTCGCTCCAACTACTATTTCGCTGACTGGCTAGCTTATGGGGGTGTGAGTGAGGGGTGGGGGGAGATATTTTTGGTATTATTAAACAGATTTTTTTTTGTAAAAAAAAAAAAAGCCGGTCTGGCGTTTTGAGGAAGTAGCCCTTGGCTGCATGTCGTGTGTCGCGCGCTGGACGGCGAGGTGCTGCGGGGTGTGGGGTAGTGGTCAGGCTGTTGGACAAATGGGGTTGGGGGGGGGGGGGTTGCTGACAGCTGGACTCATGCCGCGGCTCGTGGTACGAGCGTTTGTGGGTGGGGAGGGGGGCCGTCAGTAAGACTACCGGTATGGAGAGAAGAAGGGGGATTTGTTCCCCCCCCCCGCTCCCTATCGAAAATACATGTCCGAGCACCGCCCCCTCTCCCACCCGTCACCTAACGCCCTTGCCCAAGACTCCCCCCCCTCTAGCCGTCTACCGTCCATGTCCCTGACTCGACCCCTGATACACGCACCAGTCCAGGGACGGTAAATCTTCCTGGTCTTTCCTTAATGGGGAGTAACCTCGTCACGGTGTGTTTCTAACGGTGCTGGAACCGTAGACTGGCGAGACACGGAGGCTGGTTCCCCTAGTTTTAAAGACAACTACACCAGCACACAACAGTGTGGTTACAGACTAGACAAAATGACAAAAGAGATATAATTTTGGACATTTAATTTCTTATACCATTTGGTTTATTTAAAGAATAAATTATTTTAATCTTTAGTTGTTTTTTTTTTTTAAAGAAAGGGATTTAAATGTCTCTAGTAGTTTACTTTCTCGACGTAACACCGTAACAACGTTAAACGTTGGCCCAGAGGTAGGAAGTTTTTCAAAAGCAGGTAAATCGGAATTTCCACTCTGACACATCTCGCTCTTTATCAAACGGCTTTTTGAGAAAACTACGGAGGAGAGGTTAGCAATATTTACAGAGCAAATACAAAATACCATCCCCCATTACAGAGTTGTGGGGGTTTTCTTGTGAAATGGGCGTACTGCTACGTGAATTACTTCCCATGTAGATATCACAGTATGATTAACATACCTTCAGCAGAAACTCAAACACAAAATGGCCACAGTGCAGGACATCCCATTACCGGATATACAACATGCCGGACATTAAATAGCCGGACGTCCTATTGCAAGGGACAAGCTATTTTTAAACTTCATATTCAAGGGAGATGTTAAATTTGGGGGAGTAAGGAAGGGGGGGGGGGGTAAGTATCGCAATAAGACTAAGTTTACCAGAACTACGTATCAAAATATCAACTCTGGTTGGTCGCAATAAGACTAAGTTTACCGGAACTACGTATCAAAATATCAACTCTGGTTGGTCGCAATAAGACTAAGTTTACCGGAACTACGTATCAAAATATCAACGCTGGTTGATTTCAAAGAAAAGTTCCAACTGGGAAAATACAGACAAATTACTGTGAAATTATAAAACACCTGAAATAGTTTTTCGACATGTGGTCATGTTTTATAAACGACGTTAGATCATGGCTATTTTTAGACTAGGTCGTCGTGTTCCTACCGTTTTTTTTAATTGGCTTATATGTTTACATAACTGTATTAAATGTAGCTTTCAAAGGCTTTATACCACGACCTGATAGATAGTCCACCTATCGCCTTTTGAAAACCACACATATTAAATCAACGTTTGTTTCAATTGGAAGGCGTGTTTGTTCTACTGCTGCGAATATAGACTTAGTTTAAACAGCAATTGTGATCCATACTAAACTAATTCCTTAGGGAGCGACTTCTAATCTCCAAGCTTGTGAACAAGTCAAACCACTTTTTCGTTAACAACGGTCTTTCGTGCAACAGAGCAGTCTTTCTTGAAGCCCCGGGGGTGGGTTTTGGGGATAAGGGGGTGTGCCGGATATTTTTGTTAAATCTATAGATCAACATAAAGACTCGTGCTACGTTTAAAAATAACTACAAAGCCGAAGGTGTCTTTGTAGTGTAAATGATACACAAAGAAAGAAAAGAGCGATTAGATATACAACTAGCCTTGCTTGAACTGTGAAATCGATAGTCAGCGGGCATATATACCCTACATTGTGCCCAAGACCTCTTTACTACAGGGGTAGCGGCTGGGAACAGCTTGCCGCATGAATGGACACAGCTGTTGTCCCGGCAATTAAACGGACTTAAGGCCCAAATTAATGCCCGATATATCACAGTGTCCAGTGTTAAGTGAAGGTCTTTTGAACAGGGTGGGAGGGGCTGTAAGACGTGTGGCCGAGTCTACAGACCTAAGATTCCCGACGAAAGTCTCAAGTTTCCGACAACAGGCTCTACATTCCCGAACACCGGCGACAGATTCACGGCAACAAGCGACAGATTTCGAGGCCTGAAATCCCGGCTGACGTAACGCGTCAGTCCATCGCACGTGCGACGTTTGAACGCGCGGTGTGAGGGCAAACATTCACTTCACCTGAGGCAAACATTCACGTCACAGTGAAGAATTCTCAATCGACATCACCCCACATCACATGTTACCACGGCAAACACATTTGTTGTCCGAGTGTGTTTGTGATATTTTAAAAGTAAAAAATTAATTTCAAAGATTCACAACTCTAAATGATCATTTAATGAGCACTCTTTGTTGATTTTACTTCATACACGATTCGGCACAAACATAAACACACCTTTTCAGTCACGAGGGGGAAAAAACGTATTGAGAATAAGTAATGACCGAAGTCATGTAAACAGGGGATCAATGCTCGGATGTTATTACACAAGCCATCGATCTTTGGATGATTCACACTCACACACTTTTATAGATGATTTTTTGTAGCACTATTACATATACATGCACTTAAGCACACACTCACGCATAAAATTATAAATAAATGTATATTTTTATCGGTAAAAGTATGTATATTAATACATGTGTACACTACATATAACAATTAATATACACTTATTTTAAGTTCTATAGTTACAAAAAGTAGATTGTTATTTAGAGAACTATAAAGTTATATAATTCTTTATTCTTCACCAAACTTGCCTTTACCCCCCCCCCCCCCCCCCCCCCCCCATGATACAGGAACATTTTGCCTACAAAAACAACAGGACGGGTCTACGACGAGGTTAGAGTGAGGGTTACAAGTGTCGTAATTGACACACCATGACCGACTTCAAAATTCACAAGACGTAATAAGTAGAGTAGAAATAAACAAACTGCGCATGTCATTTCAAACTTTGGAGTACCTTTTAATCAACAAACGTGGCTACATTTACATCGGTGACTGTGACTGTGTAAATATATGTAACAATGTACATACACATACATATATAATGATATATAATGATATATATATATATATATATATATATATATATATATATATATATATATATATATATATATATATATATATATATATATATATATATATATATATATAGTACAGGTGAGATGCAGAATTTGATTTTCAACCATCTGTCGTCTGACCTATTGCTGACTAAAATCCCTGTGTACTGTTATCGTCTGAGGTCTACATGTGAACAGCCATATTTGGCTCTGCTATCAACATGCAACTTCTTCAAAAACACCAGCCTCGGTCAAGGTCTGGTCGCTTATTGTTGTAGATCCTACATCGATCCAGCCCCCACCCCCTCACACCTCAGCTCCTAAACATGCCCCTCCCCCTGGTTTGACTCAGTAATTAAGACCGGTATTACGAGTACAACAGCTGTTGTTGACTAGTGGAAGGAACATGTCACTGTACACTTTACACCATTTCACTTTATCACTGTACACTGTACACAATTTCACTTTATCACTATACACTTTACACAATTTCATTTGATCGCTTCGGCTGCTTTGTTTTTGGTTGCCATTAGAGAACGGTGGGCTATTTATAGCAACGTTTGAAAACAGAATGTTATCTAATACCTGTTGACGTCGATAAGAGTGATTATATAACTTTATAGTTCTCTGAATAACTATGTACTTTTTGTAACTATAGAACTTGAAATAAGTGTATATTAATTGTTATATGTAGTAGGCTATAGATCTGTACCTTAGTATAAATGTAGATAATAATTGCTATATATTTGTTATATTATCTGTAGAAGATAATATGAAATTAGTGAATAAAGAAACGAAGCTATGTACGTCTAGATTATTCTAGATATAATCCCATCAACACGAAGTCATCCGTAGGTTTGATAGTATCTAGATCTAGCCTAGTTACATCAACCAAGCCCCAACATCAACCCAACTTGTCGCTATATCTAAAACTATCCTAAATCTAACCTTCTCATGTGATACGTTCAGCGGTGATGAAGGGTTAAACAGTCATTCATTCAGCTTCTCTTATGAAATGCACTGTAATACATTTACACAAGCAGTAATCGGTAAAGTCGTGCATGGTTATTGATACCCACAATCTTGTACTATTTAAAGTATTTATTATAATAATCCCAACATCGACCATACTTATGTTAATGCGAACCCTAACTTCACAAAACTAATACTACTAACCATATCTCTAATACGTAATAGCAAAGACTTAACTGAAACTGTAATATGTCACTGTTAAATGCAGCTGCTAATCTGCTATTATTTTATTAAACCATATAAATTTGAATAAAGTGTTTCATAAATAATTAATTATAACAGAATCTATAAATCAATTAAAACATAACATAAGGCCAAAATTACATCTAATATACCACAATAAAAAGAAAGAAAAACGATAATAAATAACGCCTATTGATTATGCTCAGAGGTACGGGGTAGGGTGGGGGAGTAATTATTTTAAAATGACTTACCTCTATGACCAACATCTTCAGTTGCGAACACACACCACAGTAGTGTACAATAAATTATAAATATCAAACAGCTCAACTTTTACAACACTATGTCAAAATTAAAATGTTCCAAAATGTTCAAACAATGTTCGGTATAAAACTGGTATTCCCCAGCATCGGAGGTTACTAAATAATCTTGAATGTAAAATACATGTGTAGTAATCCCAGTAAGTTCAGGAAATGAGTTACAAGATTGCGCAGTTATATAAGTCCCACGACCGGTCCTAATTCATATTTCTCCTATTAGTCTACTTGAAAACTATTCACATTGTGTCACTGTCGCTGATACGGAATGTTGAGGTCGAATGATTAAGGTGAATCAACAGCAGTCATACTTGTAAACAACCAGTGAGGTGGTGTTTTTTTTAAACGCTAGAGAAGGGGAAACTCCTCCCCCTACCCACTCCCCGTCACAAGCCGGGTTTTCTAGCTAGTTAAATAATCGAATCTGTACGAAACGGCGAACGGAAAAATAAACCCAACCACACGCACGCACGCAACGCTACGTAACAGTGGTGAGCGAGGCCACGAAAAAAAAAAACCCCTCTAACGGCCTCTTCTGTACCTTAGCTAACTGAAAGGCTAAATAATAAAAAATAACTACGTATAGCCGGCGAACTTTTCCCCTCGCGTTGCACCCAAACGCCCTCGTTCAACGCTCATTGAGTATTCCCTCTCCCTCACCTCGCTTGCCTTGCGCGGTTTTTTTTTATTCTGTGGCAATTTTTTTTTACAGGCTTCACTTGTTGAGAGTTCTAATTATAAACTGGGCACGTGACAGTAACGATTTCTGTTTACCTGAATATCTGTTGACGCTGCTTGGCATTGGAAGTATTGAAGCTGCAGCTAATGTTTAAACAGCTCCTTACAGACTCCACAACTTCATATTTAACTCCTATTCCAAACAAAAGTATTATCTACCGTTTTTTTTTTAAGTCCATGGCTAGCCGGCAACCTGACCTCAACTGACGCTTCGAATCCATACATGCAAATTGACCTCGCCGTGTCACGTAATCCAAAATTAGCTAACCAATCAGAAGAGAGTTCCGCCTAGAAAGGCATGTCCATCTCAACCGCCGGCGCAGCGGTGTGGCGACGTGCCATTGGTCGGTGGGCCGGAGTGATCTAAGTTGCGTAAGTTTTCAACAGCGGGAACTAAACACTAAAGACGAAAGCTTTGTAGCAGAACTTGTTGACTGCATTACTAGATGTTTTGATTAAGATTAGAAAAAATATATTATTCTTTCTTGTTTGTTTTAAAATGGGGAAATTCTTAGCGTCTTTCCCCACCTCCCCCTACGTAATGTAGCCCAGTACTGCGGGAGGGGGGAGCAAGTTGAATGCATGTCTGACTCGCCGTCTGCAACCAGTCTTGGTCAGCTTCACGTTCCACCACCGCCCCTCACTTTTTTTTTCGAGGTCAGTGTGGGGTCATGACCTTATATATTTTAACTGCAAGAAAAAATAGCTGACCCCACTCCCCCCCCCCCCCCCAGCGTATCGCCTTCTAGACGCTGACCCGGTATAGTGCTGATAGTGGCAACTGTTTTTGATCAACTGAAAATGAAAGCTATGTCTTTGAATTTGAGAGTTGGGAAAAATAAACATTTCGAAATGGATGTGGGGGTGGAGGTAAGGGTAAAGGGATCGAGAGGTAGGGGGTGGTGATGGTACCCGGCTGGTGAGGTTGCAGCAATAACAAACACGTCCACGAAAATGATTTCCCCATTACAGATCCTCGGCAGAAATATGTTAAAATATTTTCTTCTACCTTAAAAACAACAGTGTTATTAGTGGTTTAAAGACTTACTGCTTTTGTTTCTTGTATGTAACTAAGTCCTCTTGTACGTACGCGTGGTTGTTGGATTGTGTGGTCAAACTTTGTGAACTAAAAAAAAAGTTGTGGTTTTATGACTTTTAAAGTAATTATTTTCTAAAGAAATAAAAGTTTCAGCAATTGTTAACAAATCTTACTGGTCGTTGTAGCTGTACAAACACCATAGCAACATTCCGTCAAACATGTTATTGTTACTTGATAGTGTCAACAAGCTGGTTAACAGCAGGCAATTCTAATTATAGTGTTTGACTGGACGGCCTATGAAACAAGATCGGCTTTAAGAAAACCGGCAGCAGATTTTAAACAAACGAGACCAGTGTGACAAACAGGGGCGTGAGCGGATCATAGTACTCACCGCCTCGGTAGGACAAAACACTGTTTTAGTGTGTTCCAAGAACATCGTTCTCGGTAGGACAAAACACTGTTTTAGTGTGTTCTAAGATCATCGTTCTTGGTAGGACAAAACACTGTTTTAGTGTGTTCCAAGATCATCGTTCTCGGTAGGACAAAACACTGCTTTAGTGTGTTCCAAGAACATCGTTAGGGGCGTGAGCGGATCATAGTACTCACCGCCTCGGTAGGACAAAACACTGTTTTAGTGTGTTCCAAGAACATCGTTCTCGGTAGGACAAAACACTGTTTTAGTGTGTTCTAAGATCATCGTTCTTGGTAGGACAAAACACTGTTTTAGTGTGTTCCAAGATCATCGTTCTTGGTAGGACAAAACACTGTTTTAGTGTGTTCCAAGATCATCGTTCTCGGTAGGACAAAACACTGCTTTAGTGTGTTCCAAGAACATCGTTATGTTTGCAAATCATTGTTTATACTATTAATTCCAGTGGGGGCTATACAAAAATAAAAAACCAACAATATACAACCATTAACATGCCTTTATTATAATTATAGCCCTGTGATTAATAGACAACAACAACAACAAAAACAAACAAACGATTTGATGTTTGAATCTGACATCGAATCTACCGACTCTCTAATCTACATCCGACATATTCAGTTCTTGCGAAAATATTGTCATTTTTCCAAAAGTGTATTACACAATAACGTTTAACAATGTGTAACTAACTATTAGTAGGCCTGAAACAGCACCCATGAGCTAAAACTGATGGGAAATAGGCAGTGGCGTAGCGAGGTCGGGTGTCACCCGGTGCGGCACTTAATGGTGTCACCCCCCAGAGGCGTAGCGACACTTCTCGGGGACAAACTTTCAATTTTCGATTTGCAACCCCCCCCCCCCCCTCTTCCAACTTTCGATTTGCACCCTCCCCCCTCAAACTTTCGATTTGCGTCTCTTTAAAGACTATTTAACACTCGAATTAATCACTTAATTAAGTGGAATTATCATTTTTCTCTATATATTTTGCTATATTTTGCCTTGGTGTCACCCCCCCCCCCCTAATGGTGTCGCCCGGTGCGGTCCTCACCCCCCCCCCCCCCCGCCCCCGCCCCTCGCTACGCCTCTGGAAATAGGATCTGGTCAAGTGCTGAAACACCAAGCCCCTCCTCTACTCGATAAATTTGACTAGAGAAGTTTGACGATTGAACTAAGAGTGGAATATCAAGCATATATTGCGTCATTTCATGTACGTCTGCTGATGACTTAGTTTTAAACACTAAAACAACAGGTCGAGGATACACAAAAGTGTACACATTAGTGTCTTGTGATGTACCCAGGTGTACACATTGGTGCCTTGTGATGTACTCAGGTGTACACATTAGTGCCTTGTGATGTACTCAGGTGTACACATTGGTGTCTTGTGATGTACCCAGGTGTACACATAGGTTTTGTGATGTACCCAGGTGTACACATTGGTGTCACTTAATGTACCCAGGTGTACACATTAGTGCCTTGTGATGTACTCAGGTGTACACATTGGTGTCTTGTGATGTACCCAGGTGTACACATAGGTTTTGTGATGTACCCAGGTGTACACATTGGTGTCTTGTGATGTACCCAGGTGTACACATAGGTTTTGTGATGTACCCAGGTGTACATATTGGTGCCTTGTGATGTACCCAGGTGTACCCAGGTGTACATATTGGTGCCTTGTGATGTACCCATGTGTACACATTGGTGCCTAGTGATGTACACACGTGTACATATTGCTGCCTTGATATAACCCCATATGTAAACGTCTTAAAACTGAGACTTAAATTTAACAATTGAATATTGTGGAGGAATGGTGTTTCGAGTAGCGAAAAAATTCCGGTGGAAGTGTGTAGGACAAGACCATCCTTATTTTGTCCCAGACTCAAGCATTGGCATGAAGGTGTGAGATACCTTACTTTTTCACGGTTCATTTGGCGTGATATTTGTTTTGTAATATATCACAACTCTATAGGGCACAGCACACTTTTTATAATGAGTAATTTAGTTTAAACTCAGGAAATACAACTCTAAGTCTGACAAAAAGTGTAAGAGGTGGGGTGGTGCTAGTAACTAGTTAAAAGGAGGCGTTCCCTCTTGGCGTTCCCTCTTGAAAGACATGTGGAATTAAACGGCTCCGAATTTGTACCACGCAAACGGGTTTATCATTAAGGCCGGTGTACGATCGTGTAAACATAATTTCTCCACGCCAAAGAGCTCCAAGTTTACATAATGGCACATGTGCAGCGTACGGAACCACCGCCCAGGCCGCACCGGCTCTTTGTCGCCCCCGGTCCAGCGAGCAATGACCGCACCAGGGGCATGCTGCCACCGGGCAGATGTCGAAACGTTTGGACACAGAGAGAAAAAAAATTGTCAAATAAACTATTCACCGGTGTGTGCCCCACCCCCCGGCCTGAGACCGCCGTGTTTTACCTCACACAGGGTTACTTAAGCCGCGGATTGTGGGAGTGTTTCAATAACCCGGTGTTATCTTTTCTTTGTGGGTTATGGGCCTTTAATGGAACTCTCCTATGAACGTGTCTACAGAGAGTTTAGTCCGTGAACTGGGAGCTAAATGGAGCTCATTTAACAAAGGGAAAATATTTGTTGACTAAAATATAGATTTATAAATACACTAATATGTATTATGTAAAAAAACAAATTCTCTCTAAACAAAGACTGATTAAGCACTAGAAAAGTAGACATTCATACAGTAGATAAATAATGATTTGTACATGCAGAGTTTCTTCCAGGCATCTCTTCGGGGGGGGGGGGGGCTCTGCCCCCCACGAAGAAAGTCTACCGCCCCCCCCCCCGAACGAGATGGATTTTATAGAGTAAACATACACTATTACTAGTGTCCGCCCCCCCCCCCCCCGAAAAATGTTGACCGCCCCCCCCCCCCCCGAAAATTTCAAGTGCCCCCCCCCCCCCCCCCCCGGAGAAAAAAGCCTGGAAGAAACACTGAGTACATTACACCTTACGTGGCATACATGTGGGTAAGCCCATGTTGGCTTCATGTTGAACAGGATTCAGCTCCCATGGGCTTTAGACCATATGAACTTGAGTTCATATCGGCTTCATCATGTAGTATGGACCCTATCATCATCATCCACTTTTCCCGTTCGTGCCAATGAGTGCCCATGACACATGGGACAGATGAAGTAGAGTACATCTGTTTCAATGCCCTCGGCGTACCGACACTTGCAATAGCTGATAAGTTCATTACATCACCAGTTATAAAAAAAACT